ATAAATAATCGGGGACTGTCTAACAACATTACATGCCTATTTTCTGCATCAGATCACCATGGAACCTAGTTTATTTTTAATCAACCTCAGAAAAAGCTTCCAGGAGAAAATAAGGGCCTTCTCAAACTAAGCTAATCCCAAAATATAAAAGGTGAGCCTTGGTAGATAATACACTACATCTCTGTGAACCTTTTGACAAGACTGGTCTAATCCTCTATTCTTCCTAAAAATGTAAAAAGGTGTATTTCTCAATTGTAATTAAACAACGGCACGGAACAGCAGCCAGGGAGAAGTAATCTATAGAATTATAAATGGTGTGCAGAAAATAGAGAGAATCAATAGCTATTTTAATTTCAACTGCACTCCCTAACACGTGCCAAGGGGCTCTTTTGACTGCAAAGTTCAGCCTCCTCAATAACTATCATGGGCAACACAGGCAGAAATCGAACAAGTTCAATATGAAAATGACAGCGGGTCGGTGTAAAGGTTATGATTGTTTTAAACTTTAAATCAGCATAAACACTCATGTACAGCTACGCATGATCCAAGGTTGAGTGAGTTTGACAGGATGACAGTTTTGGGAACAAAATGACTTTCCTGTTGTTTTTGCATTTTGATCAAAAGCTAAAACAGTCTGGCCTTGCTCCAGGACGCAGGCTCATTAAACTTGTACCTCTAATGTTGGAAAGTAATGCTCCATGATGAAAGGAACTTGCCGAGCCAACTACATGACCTACAGTTAGTGCAGCGTAAAATTCACTGTTAAGCGTTTCTTCTTGCTGGTTTCAAATAGTTGGGATTGGATTTAGGAAAATAATCTGTATTATATTTTACACTATCATCCTGTTAAATTAAACTCAGCACAAGCATGCAGATACAAATATTCACAACAGCAGTCAAATTAATCATCAAGGGAATGGTAATGACACTGTTTTGTATCTTCAGCACCAGTGAGGTCCTTAAAGCTCTCACAGAATAAAGAGATATGAAAACAAACAATCATGGAGTGAATACAGCACAGGGCTGAAATAGCAGTTATTTCATCTAGACTCCTAAATCATATTTTATCATCATACGGCCACTGGTATGATGTATGCATGTAATGCATTTTTAATAAGCCAGTGTGAAGCACATATGGCACTAGCATGTGATAACCAAATGTTACTGCCTCTGAGCAAGAGAGAGAAATTCCATATCTTGCTGCATTTGAGGCATCCATTGGTTATTTATTTATTCATAGAACTGAGTCCAAAGCGTGATTCATTGGGGCTGTCTTTTTCGCCTGCCAGAAGATTAGGAGGGACAATCTGGCCCCTGTGACGTGGCATTATTCCCGACAGTGAAATACTAGAGACAGCTGTGTCACTCCATTGTGAAGCAAACACTAAGGCTGAGCCGCGGGGCAGTACAGCTTGAGTGTGGTTATTACTATCACACATCCATTTAGCACCGAAGGGCTCCACAGGTGGCATACCAGACAAAATAAAACAAAAAAAACAAACAATTAGGGGATGTGACATATTGCTAATGTCATTCAAATTAACTTTGGCGAGAAAGCTGTTGCAATGTTGGAAAGTGCTTCGTGGAAACTGCTATGAAACGTGACTAACTTCAGGATGTGCAGCAAAAGGTTAACCTGTTCTGTATAAACTCATGATCCAACAATCACTGTATTAATGCTTTCAGACCCTCGCAGTAGCCTACTCTTACGTTTATTTGTGCACTGCTAATCCACACCTCAGAGAAAAAGCACTTATTCCTCAGGATGCAGTACATGATAAGTACATCTTGTATTATGGCAGTGAAGACACAAAACCCTCATATCAAGTCTGACTTAAGATTGAAATGCAAGTCATGGTGGTAACGTCTTAGTCAAAATGAGTTATATTCCAATTACTCAGGTGCGTGCCTGAGTAACCAACTGTACAGTGGCTACACTAATCTGATTTATGTTAGCAATGGATTGAATGACTGCATTATGTTTGGCAGAAGTTGCTCACAGGCAACAACACTCTCCAGTTTCTCTCAGTTTTTGGAGCGTTGAGCATCTTGCATTTTAGTTTTCATGTTCTGCATCTTAAATGTTTCTTTCAGTTCAAATCTCACTCCTCTCATAAACCTTACTTATAACTGCATAAGAGCTGTTTCCAGTGCCAAGCAGACTGCTCAGCAGAAAACAGCAGGAGGACACAGTTAGCAGGTCGTTGGTGAACATAGTGGAGCATTTAGCAGCTAAAGAGCCAGACATTTTCCCCGGGAGTTGGCAGAGACCAAAACATATGGACATTTGGACGGAGAAATAACACAATCTTTCTTTTACAAATATACTTTTAAATTCACAAGTAATATTCATAGGACAGTTTGCAATCTTAAAGAGTCTTCTCTAATTATGCACCTGTTACACTGCATGGTAGCTTATCACAGATACACTAACATCTTTGTAAACAGATGCTTGACAAATGCTTTTATCAAAATGTAGGATGATGCTTAAAGGACTTATAGCTATGTTAATGTATCAAGGTCAAATGCAAGTTAAAGTTGTCAAATTTCACATCCAAGATGTTTCAGGAGTCATTGCTTTTTGACTGTGATATATCTTATCACTCAGACTTCACCTGTTCCCGAAATGTCTTAAGGCCCCAGAGACGTTCCTTCATCAATTCAGAACACACCAACATGCCATTTCCCCGGATCTTTAATCTCTCCTAGTCTCCTCCTGCCTGCCACCCAGGTGCTGCCAAACCATCACTCAGAAGCTCAAATCATTGGCCCTGTCAGTTACCAAGTTCCATAAGAAGCCTTTCTCGAGCAGACAAATGTGGGGCCATCAGCACTGCCTGCATGTAAATTGCTTTTATAAACATTTACCAAACAACGCAGTTGTCGCTGCAGCAAGCCTGCTTACCTGCCGCCCGATATCTTACATCCAGATCCAACCTGACAGCCGCAACATTTAAAATCTCAGGAGAGTTTTTTACAACTTCCTCTTAGAGTATTCCAGAGCTACGAGAAGGAAGCTACACAGGGGAAATTGACACTATAAATACATTACACACCTTAAAAAAACATTGGCATTCTGCACGCCTCCAAGCTAAATTCTCATTAAGAAGGATAAAAAACTGTGTTCATACTTTTGTGGTTATACTTTTCTGAGAAGAAGGAAACTGCTGTTTGGTTGATAGATGAAGTAACTGGAAATATAAGCAGTGCACACATCTGTTTCCAGACATTATCAGTTTTGTAGGCTCCTGCTGCTATACAGCAGTGCTTAGAGGGAACTACAGCAGCGCACTGCGTAGGTTTTCTTCACCATAATGATGGATCACGGTTCCCTTAATTTGGTAACATGATTTCAATTTCTGCACAATGGTCCCAACTGTCATCATATGCAGAGTACTGTGAAGAAGGGATTTCATTTCATCTGACTAACACACTGCAGCCTGAATTGAACAGAATCACCAGCATCAACAAAATAATGTATAGGTAGTGAGTGACAGCAATTATTTAGAATTTGAACTTGACAATAGCCTCATAATCTATAGAAAGAACATCGTAATGAATGTTTCATTATTCTGCTGCACTCTAACAAATCCTGAATACACTTAAATACAGTTACCAAGATGAATGAATGAATGGATGATTTGAAGCTGGTGTAATGGTGGCCTGCTATTCTCCAATAGCATCAGAATAATGGGCACTGAATTGTCTTGAGTTAGACATCCATCTGCTGTCTTCATCATCACTTAAAGTCAACCCTAGGGCCAGAAGGATATGGATCTCTCTATCTCTCTCTCTCTTCTTGTGTGTGTGTGTGTGTGTATTATGTATATGTGTGTATGTTAACCTCGGCACAAATGTTCCGTACATTTAATCAACAAGAACATTTGCATTTATAGCACTCTTAATCCCCAGCTGTTAACCTCAGACTCATACAATCCATCAGACAAATGTGTTAAAGCTTGGTCCATTTTCATTTGCAGCTCCAAAGCAGAGATAGCAGCTGCTATAGGAATCCATTTACTGGACAGAAACAGCCCTCGGAGCCTAATTATGACTCTCATTAACGTATTGCACCTTTTACTTCAACAGTGAATTACAGGCTGATTGTAGAAACACCAACAACAAGCAATCAATCAATCAATCATGCACGATCTCTTGAGACAGAAAAAATGCCAAAATCCAGCAGATCAATTCCATAGCAGAAGCAAATAATGAGGCAGTGTGGGATCCCAAAGGTGGGGTCCAGATGCATTTGAGTTATTCACAATGCTGAGCTCAGATTTGTGGAGTGTATTGATTGTGGGCTTCATTCAAACAAGAACAGGATGATTTAGGCAATTTAGCTGAAGGCATGACATGACTATTCATTTTTTTCATTTAATTTCAAACCTTTATTTAACCAGATTGGTCCCATTGAGATCATAGATATCTTTTTCAAGGGAGACCTGCAGTATATAGGTTCCACATGAAACATAAAACAATAAAATACATCATACATTATATTTACAGGATACATTTACATAGTCATAGACATTTACAAGTGCCCATAGTATCAACGAGCATTTCATTTAGCCTAGCTTTAAAAACATGCAGAGGAATGAGATTGCTCAGTTTCAATTCTTGCTGTAGATTGTTCCAAGCAAGTGGAGCTGCGCACATAAAAGCTGTCTTACCTAAAACAGTCCTTGCTCTTGGCACATCTAACAATACTACATCATGCGATCTAAATCAATCTAATCTAGACTTTTTTTGTGCAAGGCTAAGCCTGCCTTGTTGCTCATTAATGGCAGCAACACACCTGAGCATGCAACATGCTGGTGGTCAGAATATTGATAGGGGCTATACTTAGTTTGATCTCTAGCAGGAGCCGTTAAGCCTCTAGTCTTGTCTGGCCAGTATTTAATGTGTGCACGAGATGCAAAGTGTAACCCCTAGCGTTCGCGTGCACCGACTGCATGGAAAGGAGGAAAAAGGGAAGGAGATGGTTAGAATTAACTCACCCCCAGGATGACAGTGTCTTCTCCCTGAAATACTGGGATGAATTTATCTCCGCGGATAATTTCGGACTTGTTCAGAGGACGAAATCTACACAACACCTTGATATTGCATTCTGCATTAGCATCAGCCATTGTTGGGGAAAAATAGTGTACACGCTTTCCAATAAATAAAAAGGGATGTCTCTATCCAACAAATATAAAGACAAATAAAATCCCCGTCGCAAATTCGCGTGAACCACCTGGGCGCAGGCTGAAACCACCGGCTACATGCAAAGCGAGACCGGCAGGCGAAACATTTGGATGAATGGACACCCACTAGTTTTGGGAGATAGCTACTAGAGACAAATTCATTAAAGAAATCACAAGCAAAAACAACCCGTTCGGAGTGATTCTAGTTTCAAAAGCCCTCAAACCAAACTCGCGTAGGAGAACAGATGGAGAGTTGTAAATGTGAGTATATTCCAACCCGGTCCGGTCGGCAGTGTCTGGATAGGCTGCAGGCTGCTCGGGAGCATGCCTCTCCGTCATCACTGCTCTCTCAGTGGGGGCGGGGTTTGGAAAGTAGCGACTCAAATCCTCCCATCAGCACCACTGAGGAGGAGAGCTCCAACTCTGCTACTTATTTCCTCAGCCAATTTGAATTTTAACTGGGATTGACATGGAAGTTAACTTTTAACAATTGAACACTGAGCACAACAAGCTGAAGGTGTTCCTTATTGCATCTTTTGATTTTGTTTTGTGGCCAGTAATTTTTAGGTCCAGAATTTAACAATTTTGTCCACGTCTTCACCAGATTGGTAGTCATGGCAATGCTGTTTTGCATGGGCAGTCATGTAGGAACCAAACAAAGGCTCCATCGTTTTTGTCATTAAATGAGGGTTCTCCATTGATGTACTGCACATTCATCAGAGCTGAGAAAGTCAGATACAAAAAGAAATGTGCTCAACACTAACATGTTTAACACTTAGGCTATAGGAATTGAAATAGCTATAGGCTACAAGGGCTATGCACTACGAAACACAGTTCGACAAATGTATACTATTACAACTGTTTTATAGCATTTAACACATTTGTCTCAGGAAACAGAAGACTATGAGTGCTTATTATGTAGTTTCAATATAGTTTTTTTTCTATGTGTTTTAATTATTATTCAATAGCCTATCGTTTTTTTTCTATGTGTTTTAATCATTATTATTTTAAACATAAGAAAGTAACATACAACATTACCCATTCATACTTTATCAATGCTTTTAGATAAGGTAGATAATTTTGAATTTTGACCGACAGAGTGATCATCTTCACAATCGACCGTCTTTGGCCCATTGACTGAGTTGTTGGCTGTACTTTTAGCGCCACCATGTGACGACTTTGCTAAATTCTGCCAAATATATTTTGAAAAAAAGAATAGTGTTGTTGAAGGCAGTTCATTTTTGCAAAATGAATGCGCCCAACCAATTCTTTGTTTGATAATAAACAAACAAAAAAAACGATGGTAAGCAACAGCAATAGGACGTAGCCTACAATTGCACAAACGCTCAAATGTATTGGTAGGGCTTGTTTTGTTGGTTTCTGCACACCGGTGAGCGCTTTCCTATTGGCATAGCGAGTACTTCCCCGCCCGTCCGCCTTCGACTGCAGGAAAACAAACGCACACGCTGTCATCTCAAGCTAGTGACCAGATCAGCTTGGAAACCTCCGCCGGCTGAGAGACTGCTGGCTCATCTATCGCTAGCTTTTGTTACAATTAGATTAGTTTAATCTATAATAGACAATAATTAAGTAGAATTATTACATTCTATAGTTGTTTGTTGACCTCGTCTTTGCATCCCGCTTACAATGGCTGATCCTAAATACGCAAACTTGCCAGGAATTGTAAGTGGATACAGCTAGCAGACAGATTAGCTAGATTGCTACTAGCAATGCTAGCTCTGAGCTGTGACACCTGAGTTAGCAAACATCCGTGCTGTTTACTCTTTCATCTGCGTGTCATTTTTTAACTAGCGTTAGTTATCGTAGATGTGTAGTCGCTACAATTGTTAATGTGTTGTCTAATGATACAAGCCACCTAGCAAGGGCTAGCATATACGTGGTGTTGAATGGGCCGGGGCGTTGGCCAAGCTACTGACAATAAACGTAATATCTGATCGTTTGATATTGTTAACCTAATATTGTTTACCTGTTTTATTAGGCCTTTAATGAACCGGACGTGTACGAGACCGGTGACCTACCAGAAGATGACCAGGCTCAGTTTGAGTCGGTAAGTTGACGTTTCCGTTGCTAACCAAACTAGCTAACGAGTGTTGACACTTTATATAACGGAAATATATGACACATTTACTGCGATAGGTTTGCATTATCCCTGCTGTGATTAAACACCTGAACACGCAATTGCCTGGCTAACTATTACTAAATACACGAAAAGGCACTCATTGCAGCTTACCCGTAATATAATAATTGTGAAATTCCAATTAAACTATATCCTTATGTTTGCATATTAAAAAAAATAAAGCCTGATCCTAAACGTTTTAAGATCACATGTTTGATCAGCTTTTGGTTTTATTTGTTTAATTAAAACGTTCTAATATATAGGAAAAGCCTATGTTTCTAGAGAAATGTTTATTTTGTTAATATTCTATAAAAAAATGTCAATTACCCTGTTCAGTTTACTTATCTTCCATATATTATACATATAAGAATAGCTGTCCTTTTTATACATCAAGATGAGTGAGTAACAAAGGGAAGACACGTATAAAATAGATGGAAAAACTCAAAATAAATGCCATCCATGGGCCTACTGTGGGGGTTTATAACTATGTCATGATGATGGTCTTGTGACTCAATGAAAAGTCTATTCTCACTGCCATTAACTGTAACATAAGCAGAGTTAGGGAGGCGTTGCTAGGATCAAATATTTTTTAGCAGTCCTTTTCTAAAATACTATGCAAACAGTTAAGGGAGGCTGGCCTAACATTGTTGTTAAATGTCTGGACGGTACTGTCCAGCAGATTGATTCCTAATTGGCCTTTTCCCTTCCATGTTTCCCCATTCGCTCTTCCCTTACCCTTACCCTTGCCCTTGTTTTGACTCTTCCCTACCCCTCCTCGGAGCCTAGCTTGTACAAGTAAGACTGGCTCCATTTTACTCTGTGAGCTTAATGCCATGCTTTGTATGCATGGGTGGCCCTTTTTTGTTTTGTAATTCATCACTTCTTGATTGTTTTGAAGTACAGGAAATTGAATCTTTTCCTCTTATTTGTGTTGTTTCAATTAAACAATTTAAAGGGAATAATTAGTTTGATGGGTCTTCAGCAGCACTATAATAAGAAAAGTGTTTCTCTATTTTGTTTGATATATTCTTTTTTTTTTAAACCTGTCTTCATGTTTAACAGTCACTTCCTGCCTAACCACATTATTTGGACTAACTGGGTATTTTAAAGATCCTTATACACTGTGTGATATCATCTTGAAGGTTCTTTGCATGTCATGCTTGGATATATTGGGGTTTAATGTTATAATGTTAATAATTAAGAATTTGTGCTGGACTGTACATGATCAAATTCAAGACATTTTTAGATAATGCCTATTACTTTACTTGTATCATCTTAACAAAACCATATAGAGAATTTATTCCCACATTTTTGACACTCTCAGACCTTTGCCACAGACTTTCCTTGTTCATCAATGTTCTAAGTCTACCATCAGCTGATAAGACATGTCTCACCTTACAGCATTGACCTCCCTCTTGCATTGATGACCAAAGAAATAATAGCAATTTGTCTCGGACACCCCTAAAATCACACTGTGTAATTGTGACTTTAACTTGGATACACTTCATTAACAGCTTTGGCTTAGTCTAGCAAATTCCTTTAGCATGTTTTTTTAGGAATTACACACCCTGATGAATGATGTTTGATGATTAGAATTTGTGTAACAGAATGGGTTTTTTAGACCTGTTGTTTAGACTCCCTTTAATCACCCTACAACCTCCTGTTACCCTTCAGTTTGAATCATGGATTGTTTTTAAACTGCCAACCCCCCTGCATTGATAGCTTAATGTTGAAAGACCCACAATGCCCTCCACAAGGGCATATGATCCCACTACATATAAAAGTGCAGTGTGGCATCAAAGGAGACAGGGGCTTGTTTGTGTAAATGGACCGTCTTACCACCCTGACTCGGGGAAGAGAGAAAGAACTTGAGAGAGCAGTCTGAGTAGAGTGCCTCCAGGGTTTTTAGCAGCAACTCTCAGAACACTGCTTTCTTTCTTATCTTTCCCCGAACCCTGGCCAACTGTTCCTGTGTGCATGGCATGTGATAACCACATTAATCTGTGTTGTCTCTCTCTCCCCCCTACTTTTTTCTCTCCCTCTGCTCGTCCGTTACTTTCTCTAATTCTCTTTGGAAACCCAAGGAGCTGGTAAGAGCCTGACTAACCCCCCTCCTCACTCTTCCTCCTCTTCCTAACATCTGTGAAACTGTCTTGTGTGTGTGTGTGTTTTTTGTTGGTCTGCCTTTAAAAAAAAAATCCAAATCTGTGTGTGAGCCCAGACTCATGTCATCTACCTGTATGTGTCAGTTGTGTTTTAATCTTGCCCATAGCCTCTAGTTCATCGTAATTGATCAATAGGAAGTTTTGATCAAATGATGCACGTTTGTTTTTTTCTTCCCCAGAACCACTAATCAAAATACCGTCTATTAGGTGTTAGTGGCTTCCTGCTTTTCTTTCACATAACATTGATTTAATAGTGCATAGTAGACTTATACCATACTGTATAGCTGACACATTCTTATAAAAGCTAAACCTTTTCAAACATTAAAGTTCTTCAATCAGGCCTGGGTAAAGCTGTGATATCATTTTCACATTTGTCTCTTGCCTGCTGGTACTTTAAATTATGTTGAAATGAATCTGGTTCAAATGTTGTCCGGAAGCTCTTGCAGATTTTCATGATTCATGGCTACAATGACTTTAATTCCTGAGGGTATATCACTTTTGTAAGCAATTATACAATTGTCTAAACCAAATAATTCATCATCTTTTTAATCATACTTTCGGGCAATGATCAAGTATTGCATTTCCTCTCAGATCTTACCAACCTGTCAACATATTTCAAGTCTACCTGGGGCTTTGAGACTTTTGGCTCAGTAAGCCAAGGCAATTTTTCAAGTCGTTTCTGTCTGTAAAGAATAACATTCAGTTTTAAGATTGTCATTATATTGATCTGATGTTCTTCCTGGTATCTCAATGACAGGAGGAGCTCTGCAGTGACAGTGTGGAGAGGATTGTGGTCAACCCCAACGCAGCCTATGACAAGTTCAAGGACAAGCATGTCAACGCCAAGGGGCTCGGTCAGTTCATAGTGGAAAATACATTACTGTTGTCAAAAGATTTTGAAGGGTACCATCACCTTTACTAATCATATAGATTGAGAGACTCAACAAATAAAAACATATTCCTAAACTATTGTGGTTTACAGAGGTGT